ACAGACAGACAGACAGCCAGACAGACAGACAGACAGACAGACAGACAGACAGGCAGACAGACAGACAGACAGACAGAGAAAGAGAAAGAAGGAAAGGCAGGGGAGAGAGAGAGAGAAAGAAAGAGTGAGAGAGTAACAGAGATGAATAGCTAGATGGATATAATGAAAGTGAGAATGAATGAGAAGAAAAAGAGAGAAAACACATGTGAAATGTAGTTGCCCATGATGATCCAGCCAGTGTGCTGAGAGTGCTTTGGCTGATGATTGCCCGCATCATGAAAAACAGATTTACAACAAATTAGCCTTGCCCTGCTGTTGTCCTATGATGAGCAATAGAGTGAAAGTGGTCACAAACACTTACTCTGACACTCTGGATTGTGATTCCATTTTCCACCGCTAGAGCAAACGACCGAAGAGATGTCAGATAAGTTGTAGCCAGTGTTACAGGACACGATTGCTACAGCGCCAATCGACTGATTATGTGCGAGAACCATGCCATTGTCAGGAGATTGTACTGGATCACAATAGTCAGAGATAACTGCAAGAAACAAGGGCACAAGAATCAACAAGAGAGGAAGATATAATTATGTTGGACTCAGTAGGCATTCGATGTCCAGTAAACAGTGGAAGGTACAGTAGGAAATCAAACTGATGATCTAATTACTACGTCCGACAAGCCAAACTTGGCGCGTTTTTTTAATTCAAATCACTCGATATAAGTCACCATTCATAATCGAAAATAGCGATTGATTCACCAAAATACAACTTCTCTCTCCGGCTATACATAAAGCGGTACAAGCACGTGCATTCCTACACATGCGTATATAGTACTAGGGGTGAAAGGGGTGATTCGGGTACCTGGGTGCCCGTCTGTTTAGCTGCTGATCCGTTAGCAAACGAGTACCCGTTAGTCGTGAACGAAGGTACAGTACAGGTTTAATAGCTGGCTTGGACAGTTGTACAGTTCGACTCACAGTGGGAATTTGTTGTTGTTTGTTTGATCTTGCTTCATACAACAGTTTTGTCTGCTTTGCATGTAGCGTGCAAGTAAGTGTGCATGCTGTGATCGTTATGACGCAGTGTTTTTGCTGTGAATTGCATGACTTCACATGTCCTCCTGGCTCAAAATGCGGAAGGCTATTGTATCGTAACTTTTACCATTGGCCGCTAACATGTACCCAATAACCCGCCCGTTAAGCCACGTACCCGTTTGGAACCTTTAATGGTAATCGTTTCATCCCTACATAGTACTGTAGCGGGCCTTGAGGCAAAACAACCTAACAACTCGAAACTAACTTTATTAACAATTCTCTCTCTCTCTCTCTCTAGAACGGCAAAACTGCCTCTAGCAATAAAACTCTAAAACTCATTGTGAAAGATATAATAAACGCAATTTATGGAAAATAATCACAAACAGCAAAGTACTGTCATGCGACGGTTGTACGGTAGAACGGACGTCGTATTGAACAGTACGCCGAGCGTATACGCAAATGCTGAGCTTGTAGCGAACGTCGTATTGAACAGTGCGCTAAGCGTTAACGCAAATACTGAGCTTGTAGCGTGACCAACGCATGACCAACGCCACACCTCCCCTCTCAAAGACAATCACGTCCTCGTGATTAGTAGCGGGTTGGTGGTCGAAACGTTTGGCGGTATGCATGGTCGCGTCGGGACAACCCCGACGAAAGAACATAGAGCGTCAACCGGGATATTTATGGCAAACAATATCGGAAATTATATCGTTAATAGAGTAGACAGAAGAAATGAACTGATAACAAATCATAAAAATAGAAGCACACCAGGGTCAAAGTATATCACGGGTTCAAAAGGGAAACCTGATTACACTTCCTGTATAACGCTGGCGCAACCCGCCAGGAAAACCGCAGTTCAGAACCGAACTGATTATTATATATTAACATCGTCCCAGATTAATTAGATAGACCGTGGTTCACCATGATCAGATGCCTACGAAACTAAACTGAATTCACACGCTCGCGTAAAGGAAGACTGAAGAGAACAGGAAGACTGAAGGAAGACAGGAAAGATAATGCCATATCTGGAATTAGCTTACACTGGCAATGTACATGGAGCTCCATCCTTTGAGACGCTAGTGCTATCTGTCATGGAGCCCAGTCCCTAGAAACACGTTGGCTGCCATCATGACTGGCTAGTTGTGTCGGGCGGCAGGAGCAGCGGAGCTGGGGCAGCGGCGGGTGATGGCGGGTTCTCCTTCAGATACACGAACTTGCGCCCTCAGCGAAACGTGGATGAAAACTACAACTAAAATTGACGGCTGTCACAAATGCGTAGCGGCCATTACGTCGGAAAACATGCAACTAGAACAAAACTTTACCGCTGCCACCAATTTTGTAGCGGGCCTGGAGGCAAAACAACCTAACAACTCGAAACTAACTTTATTAACAATTCCCTTTCTCTCTCTAGAACGGCAAAATTGCCTCTAGCAATAAAACTCTGAAACTCATTGTGAAAGATAAAACGAGAGAGCTTGGAAGCTCAGGGCCCTACGCTATGATTTTTTGCCTTGATGATCTAGACAAAAAAGCATAGAGATGTTATAAATTCTTATTAGTTTCAACTTTTTGTTTTTAGACATAACCTGGGATTTGAACCCGCACTATCGCCCTGCATGCATCCCCCGATACACTTCGCATGCATACTAATTCTTCCAAGTTGCTTCATGTTATGATCTTGTATTTGAAAGCCCGTTTGAATATGCATTGTGGCCAGCCGTCTTTGATTGTACGGTACGGGATAGGTACAGGACACGTACGGGACAGGTACGGGACAGGTACGGTCGAGGGTAATACGACACCGTCTACCGCCTTGATGACGGCAAAAAAAGAAAAGGGATGTTATAAATTTTTCGATTCTCCTATTTTTTCAGGCATTACCTGGGATTCGAACTCGCACTATCGCCCTACATGCATTCCCCCATACACTTCGCATTCATACTCATTCTTCCAAGTTGCTACACATTATGATCTTGCGTTTGAAAGCCCTATTTGAATATTACGGCCAGCTGTATGCGGCCACCTGTGTTTGATGGTACGGTACAGTACGGGACAGATACGGGATAGCGCCAGGCGTGACATAAACACACAAACAAACAAACAAACACCAAAATAAAAGCTGTGTGGACCCTGGCTAGCGCCAGACGTTACTGAAGTAACGTCTTCTGCATAGCTACGGGAATAAATGCAATTTATGGAAAATAATCACAAACAGCAAAGTACTGTCATGCGACCGTTGTATGGTAGAACAAACGTCGTATTGAACAGCACGCTGAGCGTATACGCAAATGCTGAGCTTGAAGAGAACGTCGTATTGAACAGTGCGCTAAGCGTAAACGCAAATGCTGAGCTTGTAGCGTGACCAACGCATGACCAACGCTACAGTACTACATACAACTGCATGTACGATTTACGAAGACTCCCTCAATTTAGGCTAAGGCCCGTGGAGAATCCATAAATACAAATACAAATACCAATACAGTCAGACCTCGCTTAACCGCACACATCCGCTTTCCACAAACAATATGCGGATAGGCGAGGGAACCGGATAGTCGAACACACATACTGTACGTATGCACGACATAGCTGTAAATCGGTGAACTAGGGTTTCTGGATGGCGAGGATACCGGATAAAAGAGGACCGGATAAGCGAGGTCTGACCGTAGATATCTACAAGCCCTTCATGTTTGTTGACGTCTTGACACTACACAGAGGAGCGAGATTTGGAATCCAACAAAATAATATTATCAGCTACAAAGAGAAAATCCAAAGTATCCACCTGGTGCGTTCTTTGTTCTCTGTCACGTCCTCTTTGTTAAGCCTAGTTCACATTCGACGCAACGCCGACGGTACGGGACGTAAGGGCTTGTCGGGAGGGCTGGGGTGAGCTGTAAAATCCTGTACGATTCGTACGACACGACATACAGCAGTCGTTGCGACGTTCAACGTCGAACGGCGCGGGTCATAAGGCACGGTCCGTGACGGGGTGACTTTCGGACCTAATTTCTCGTTTTTCGGGACTTCTTTTCAATTATTTCTCCTTCAAAGAAGCGGAATCAAGTTCACAATACCAGTTTTTCTTGAAGACCAGAAAATTAGCTCTGGAAGTTGTGGCATTCAAATAATAGTCCCAGGAAATTATAGAATAGTTCGTCTGTCACGCTTCTGAACTATCCCTAAAATACAATAAGTGACATGAGATCTTATGTTGCTAAAATTCAACTCAAGTCGTGCTAGCCATTCTGTGAGTTATCATGGGAAGCGCATGTTCGAAATGCTAAACTTTTCCAAGTACTAATCGGGAGTAGTCGGCGCACGACGCCGTCTCCTGTTCACACTCGAATTACAGCCGTTTTGTACGCTTGCGTCCCCGTCTACGCCCGTCTACGGTCTGAAAAGTTGGATCGATCCAACTCTTCCCGTCGCTTCCCGATCTGTACGGGTAGTACAGTTGCGTTCCCGTTCCTGGTGTTCACATTGGACGCCGTCAGACCGTCCCGTCGCTTCCCGTCGATCCTTACGTCGCGCCCCGTCGAATGTGAACTAAGCTTAACTGACCCGAATACTGTGTACTATACTGTGTATGTACTTGCACCCGCATTTACACCCAAACAGGCAACCACATCATTCGACTCATGTAACTGCATGTTGGAGTGGGATAGAAAAGAGAGACAGAGAGACAGAGTGGGAGAGACAGAGTAAGGGAGAGACAGAGAAAGAGAGAAAGAGACACCGATAGACAGACGTGGGTGTGAGAGAGAGAAAGGATACAGAGATACAGAGAGACGAGAGAGAAAAAGGAAGGAGCAAGATAACTACTTTCGTTGGTCAGGATGATGAATCCAGTGTGGTGAGCGTACTTTTGACAGAATGATTCGAATTTTATCAGGAAACACACTTTTCCAACTAGCTTTTCTCTACTATTGTTCCACTTTGAGCAATAGTATGAATGTGGTCACAAAAACTTACTCTGACACTCTGGATTATGACTCCAATTTCCACCGCCAGAACAGACGACCGAAGATACATCCGATAAGTTGTAGCCAGTGTTACAGGACAGGATTGCTACGGCACCAATCGACAGATTATGTGTGAGAACCATGCCGTTGTCAGGAGATTTTACTGGATCGCAATAGTCAGATATAGCTGCAAGAAGCAATTGTGGACAAGAAACAATAAGAGATATAATATATTATTCAGTTTGCGCTATGCAGAGCTCACTTACTTGGCAGTTTGAGCACCCTGGCAAGGTACTTAAGGGCCTGGCTTAAATAACAAGATCTTTTGGAAAATTGATTTTTCATTGCTATCAGGTTCGGCCTCATTTCCTCTGTGCTGCACTGATGAGCCCACAAAAAGACGAAACAGTTCTGTCCGCAGATTGAGTAGAAAGATCAGGGATGAATTAATTCGGTATCGCATCGCAGTTTGCTATGCAAAATCGATCTACTGTTACTCAAAAATTGCCATGACTCGTAGAGAACTGCAGTCCATATCCATGCATGGCTTGCGCTGTCAAGTCACACACGTACAGCATAATGTAGGTGGTACGCGCACATGTGCTCTCAATTTGCGTGCACATGCATACATGCTGCAAGTTGGGTGGTCAAAAATCAAAGACTGCTGTACAATTGAAATTTAGCAAAGCGAAAACTACTATGCAAAAATATGACAGTAAATTCACCTCTGAAGCTAGACAGATAGATAGATGAAAAGATAGATAGATAGATAGATAGATAGCAATCGCATTTCATTAGGTTTATTGAATATCAACTTATTTTGCGAATTGACTTTTTCACCATCACTTTTCAACAAGGACGAAGCAAAGTCAGCTGACAAAAGCCTTTAGACAGAGAATCATTCTGTCCACTTTACCTTCATGATACTGATATAGGCACGAGACGAAACAACTAAAATCCTCAAGAAAACTGGACGCCCATCGCCGCGCTGACTTTGGTCTGAGAATTTTCTATAACCATCAAAATGTACGAGGAGCACTCAAAAATCAGCTACAGACGTACCTTTGTCGCTCTCTACTCCTTTTTCAAGGCACGAAAGTCGTCTGTCCACTTTTATACCGGATCAAGACACGCTAGTGGTCCTTTTCAGCTGCTCCACGGTCACAGGTAATCTTCACCAAGGTTCGCAAACCAGCATTCATTCCAGAAAAATTGCTGAAATTCAAGTGAAGCTGCATGCTTGAGTACATGAGTACATGATTACAGTTATGCAGTAATTAGTCAATTTTAGTGTTTCTGCTCCAAACAGCAACTGCCTTTGAATAGCTAAAAAGATAACATCAAGCGACAACCGTTTTCTTCAGTTTTTTTGGCAGAAGGCTTCGCCCAGGCCAAAAAATCACACTTCAGAGGAGTACGAAAATCTCAACTTCCAGATGTCCTCGATTGCTTGCCATGCCAGAGAGTGAGAGAGAGTGAGAGAGAGAGAGAGATGGAGAGAGAGAGAGGGAGAGGGGAGAGAGAGAGAGAGAGGGAGAGAGGGAAAGAGAGAGAGACAGAGAGACAAAAGAGAATGTGAGAGAAAGCCAGACAAACAGACAAACAGAAAGACAGACAGAGAGAGAGAGGGAGAGGGAGAGAGGGAGAGAGAGAGAGACAGAGAGAAAAAGGGAATGTGAGAGAAAGCCAGACAAACAGACAAACAGAAAGACAGACAGACAGACAGAGAAAGAGAAAGAGAAAGAAAGAAAGGCAGATGGATAGAGAGAAAGTGTGAGAGAGCAAGAGAGATGAATAGCTAGATAGATATAATGAGAGTGAGAGTGAATGAGATAGAGAAAGAGAGAGAGTGTGGGAGAGAGAGAGAGAGAGAGGGGGGGGGGGGGGAGAGAGAGAGAGAGAGAGAGAGAGAGAGAGAGAGAGAGAGAGAGAGAGAGAGAGAGAGAGAGAGAGAGAGAGAGAGAGAGAGAGAGAGAGAGAGAGAGAGAGAGAGAGAGGAGAGAGAGAGAGAGAGAGAGAGAGAAGGTGCCACAGAGAGAAGAACAGAGAGACAGAGAGAGAGACAGAGAGAGAGGTGGAGAGAGACAGAAGGAGACACACAGAGAGAGAGAGAGAGAGAGAGAGAGAGAGAGAAGAGAGAGAGAGAGAGAGAGAGAGAGAGAGAGAGAGAGAGAGAGAGAGAGAGAGAGAGAGAGAGAGAGAGAGAGAGAGAGAGAGAGAGAGAGAGAGAGAGAGAGAGAGAGAAAGAGTGAGAGAGCAAGAGAGACGAATAGCTAGATGGATATAATGAGAGTGAGAGTGAATGAGATAGAGAAAGAGAGAAAACATGTGAAATGTAGTTGCCCATGATGATCCAGCAGTGTGCTGAGAGTGCTTTGGCTGATGATTGCAAATCATCATGAAATACAGATTTACTACAAATTAGCCTTGCCCTACTGTTGTCCTATGATGAGTAACAGAGTGAAAGTAGTGGTCACAAACACTTACTCAAACACTCTGGATTGTGATTC